ACTCTTGGATAGTGAGAGATTCCAATCTGACGAAGCATTGGAATCTAAACATCAGATAGATAGTTGTTCTAGGTGAAGGTGACCTAATAGAGAAACTTACAGGCACTAGGGGGAAGACAGAAACATAAAAGGGACCACAAGATGTTCTCCTTCAGATTTGGTGTTGGCATTTGATGTGTTCACATGTTGTATGCTGGCACTGTATCTCCTCGGCCGGGCTCAATAAACCATGCTATGTTAAGTCTTCATCAGTCTCCAAAACTTCTTCACACCTGAACCTGGCTCACAACAATATCATTTCAACAATAGCTGTGTATTCAGCTCTGACAATATGACCACTAGTCTATTTAGTTGTGATAGAGAGACACTGAGTGCATCTGATCACACTGATTTCAATAGCAGATTTATTATAATGTCCATTGGTATCAATCTTAATACTTTCCTGAGAACATGTTTTAAGTTATGATATACCACCACTGGGACACCATCGGGCCTGTCATTGCCGGGCCCCGAGGGATGTGGCCCCCGCTGTGGCAGGCGTCCTTATTTTTCTGTATTGAAGGTGGCAACCCTAATTATATGTTTTTCTTATTGTCAACAAAATCCTTGAAATAACCAAAATAACTGATTCTACCAACAAGTATTGAATCTGTATAGATTATTCCTCTGAGCCACAGACTTTCTGTTGTAGTCTGTCTATTATTTACACAACAATGAGCCACACAGTTACACTGAGTGACATGCTCCTTTATTATAATGAACACAGGCACTGTAGTTTATTTTGAGTCAATCCCACATACACCTTCCTGCTGCCATAGCAGCTCACTAGTACAACAAATCCGCAGCTAAACATAGTCCCTAACAAATGCACTTAACTCCTGTTTGAGTAACATTTGCTAAAACCTACAGTGCCCTGCTGTTTGGGGAATCTAATGAGCCTTTTTGAAAATTATATATATTTGTGACCTGTTTTAAAGATTTGTGTCTGCAGTAAGAATAGAGTGCTTGGGGCTGAGCCACAGAAAGGGTAAGGAAATCAGAAAGATTTAAGCAAGAAAGTACAATACTAATGCAAAGTTGGTTTTGGTGTTTTCATGGGTTTTGCTGACAATAACAAAAATATTAAATATTGCCAGCCTTTTCCCTAAATTAGGGAAGAAAAATCATGAGAAAATTCTGGGTTTCTCCTTCTATCCATTAAATTACATTCATGACTGTAGAAAACCACAGCCTTCACTTTGCTTCTTTTTTCCAGCTTTTGATCTTCAACTCTTCTCTATGTAAGGCGGCCCTTAATGTGCTCATAAAACTCTGACACGCTAACTAACTGACAAGTCTGCCAACAAGCCTGTAAGAGCAAAACACTGCACTGAAGATGAAATTATTAATTTATTATAAATAGATCCAGTGTCAGTGAAGTTACATCATGTAGACAGCATTTCTGAGGAGCAAATAATCAACCGCCTAAACTCTGCATAAAGCTGCATCCTGAAGTTGCCTCACTGTACATAAATGTAACATTGATGATAGGTTGTTGGGGGATTGCGGGGCTGCCTACGTCAAAGCTGTGATGGCGTTCCAAACAGCATTTCCCTGGAGACTCTGTTTCCAGGCCAGATACACATTGCTGATTAAGACACTGATCCTAGTATTGATGCGGCTATAAAATACGAGATACTTCAACACATATCGATCCAGGTCTTAACCTAACACAAGGCACTCCCACACACAATAATAAGTACACTCTCTAGCATATGCTATATGTGCACACCCTAATATATACATATATTACTCAAATACACAAATAACTAAAAAAAAACCTACAAGATTACCTGACCAACCGCACATACACACTAACACACACAACCTATAGATCGACCCGAGCTGTACCCAGTATTGGTCTCCAGCTGTAGATCGATGAGAGACGAGGCTGGAAGTGACAGTTGTGAGTGAGAGGCCTGAAGGCAAGCATTATGGGGGAATCTCCTGTCACAGTCTATAGCCTTTATTGTCCACGTACTCATCGTGTGTGAGAGCCTGACATGCATGTGTGTACGTTTCTATGTGAGGGAATATTTCTGCTCCTGAAGCTGCCTGTAAGCGAGTACACATGCATTTTGTAAATCATTTGAAGTGTAGGTCAAGTGGCGGGCAGTACATATGTGTGCTGAAAGGGACGATGGGGATGTTCAGGTTTTAATCATGGCTGTGAGGTCTCTGACTGACTGGTCCTCGGTTCCCTCTTCCTTTCATCCTGTGATTCTGTAATTAGTTGATTGACCTCTGCTGTCACAGTGTAATTAGACATGGTAATTACGGATTAGATGGGTCAGGAGGGAGGTGTGCGCGCTTGTGTGTGTTAGGGTTGGAGGGGAGGGTGGGGGTTAGTATATGTGCGTGAAGTGGGCTGATGAAGAATGTGAAGGTCCATATGTAGCTTTTAGCTTTAAGGGACAGGGAATTGTCCACTCTCCTTGGCAAGTAGCTGCCTTGTTTGCAAGATCAATTTAAGATGGATGCAAGATGAATGCAACAATGTTAATTAAAAAGTATCACTGTACTAAACAACCTCCTCTATTGACATCAATGAGCTGACTAATGCAATACAGTAAAGAACTGCCATGTGTTTCTAGGGTCGTAACACCCACGTTTGTGAAGTGCTCAGCTGGCAAAATGAGTGAGGAAGGAATGATGTCCCTCTTAGGAAATACAACTAAACCCTTTATGCTTGTCACCAGCACATTTTAGGAGTAGAAAAGGACTTTGTCATTGCTAAATGCCATTGAATTATAACTTAAAAGCGGCACTCAGCTATACTCTTGTCTACTCGAATCAAATTAATTAAACTACATTTTAAACTAAAGAACGAGACATTGTGGGGAAACAGCTAGCACAATAGACCAGCAAAGTGATTTAAGTAACAGCAATTACAAAAGCACAATAGAATCCACAAAAGGAGCTACTGCATGCATAATGCAAAATGGGAAATGAGGAGGTAATAAGAACAGCATTGTGCAAACAAAACACCTGACAATAGCACAGCATATGATGATTAAAAATAAATCTATAGACACACATGGTGCTAAATTATGTATATTCACCAAATTAAATAAGGTGCCATTTTCCATAAGGTTAGGTAATCAAAGGATGGGACTCAGAGACAAACAAGACTCTGGAGGGAATTATGCTAGTGACACTAAGGCTGTCACACCGGGCACAGTTTTGCAGCTTATAGAGTGCAAAGAGTGAGTATGTTGGCAACAGATAGGGTGCAGTGACAGGCAACCCCAGAACCTCGCACAGAGGGGGTGCCCATCATTCACTGCTGCCCTGTGGGGGGTTGATGCACTTTCTACTCCCTTTTTTTCTCTCTGTCTCTCACTGCTTTGCTATGTCTTTTTCAGAGAAGTGTTTTCTGTTGTCATTCGACACATGGCAGGAGACCCATGTCATTCGACACATGGCAGGAAAAAAGTGATACAAGATGAGCACAGATGAAAAGAAAGGGGCAGAGAGAGGAAGGAAGGCACGTATTGAGGCAATTGATGAGTATGATTTATCAAGGGGTAGAAGGGCAGAAAAGGAAACTATAGAAACTGACTTGGACAAAATAAGTGTGAGGGTGGAGTAGGTTGTGTAGATAAAAAGGGAGAGGAAAAGAGATGGTGGTGTGGTGAGTATGCTGGTTAACCGCTACATCTCTCAGTGCTCACAGCGCTACTCACCACTGCTGATTTAAGCCACAACGCAGTCTGTTGTAAATTTCAAACATTGAGTATGAACCACGAAATACCAAAGAGCAGCTCTTCCAATGAAACAGAGAAGAGATTGAGATAGCTGGTGACATGTCTTTAGTGTTTCAGTGTGAGGTGAGAACAGGATGACCTAGTTAGAAGTGAGCGACTTATAAAAACAAGAGGCAAACAGAAATGAATGATGGATAGAGAAACAATAGTGGTTACATCTGTCAAGTGGTTGCATGACATGTTCGTGATATGTATTCAGAAACACAAACAAGTCAAATGCAACATACTTGCCTAAATATAAGGCAATGTTTTGTTTCTGGAAACAACATTAGAACAAGACTAAGAGTCTACAACTATACCAGCAGCTCTGATACTGATGGGAATGAGATTATTTTTGCAAATATTTGACAACAAAATTTTATTTTGACCAGATGTTGGTGCTAAATGAAAAGTCAGGGATCACCAAAGTTATTAAAGTTTATCCTGAGGGGAATATGAATGTCTGTATGAAATAACATGCCTATCAACCTGGCAATGAATGCCGTGAGAAATCTGTAGTGAATAGGCTCTTTGAGACTATTCAATTTTGATCTGATCTAAAGCAATGGCTCAAATTATGACTATATAAATGGTCATATCTATTCGCATGTTTTCATTATGGTAAGTCACAACTTTTTCTTTGTCCCTCTCCCTCCCATAATCAGCGTAAGCACAGAGACAGCAGGTTCAGTTTAAAGTGTTTATTACAGTTTTTCTCAAATGCTAAAACACAAAAGCCAATCCTCTAAACCAAATGACCAGTTGTCTAAACACATTTACTAAATCTAGCCATCATTTTCCAATATCATAAACACATTTCACATGAAGACACAATTCACAAAACACAATCCTCCGTTCACATAAATCTTAACACATTTTTCCTTGCTAAAACACAAGTTGCAAAAGAACTCTGCTCATATTCTCAAATGAAAGCTCATGTGATGCAAAATGCTTGCCACAGTCAGCAATATTTGAACAAAATGAACACACCTGGCGTCATTCATTACACATAACGACTCAAAATTGAAAACACCTGTTGCTAATGCTGTGACCACATGTATAAAAGCAAGTTCAGAGTGCACAGTTTGCTGAAGATTCCAAACAAACACAATGGATGAAGGCAGAGTCAGGGGAAGAGGTAATCGAGTCAGAGGAGGGAGAAGAGCTGGCCAGGGAGGAAGAGGAGCAGGCCAACGAGGAAGAGGAGGAGGCCAAGGAAGAAGAGGAGGAGGCCAACAAGGGAGAGGAGAAGGTCCAGGAGGGAGAGCAAGACAACCTCGCACCATCATTACGGACGAGATGCGAGCAACAGTCATTGACCATGTCATTGTCCATGGCATGACAATGGCTGAAGCAGGACTAAGAGTCCGTCCAAACCTGAGTAGGTTCACCGTGGCCACCATTATCAGGGCATTCAGACAACACAACAGGTATTGTACTCTATTGCTTTCTTTGTCACAATACAATTTTACAAGCCTGTGAAAGTAGTCTATTAGTTTCAAATCAGTTGTTACTGTATTGTAAAACATGTCAATTGACAACACGTTTCTTTCTTTAGAGTTGAAAGAATGCCACATAGAGGTGGGAGGGTTGCCATATTTACAGCGGCACAAGAAACCCTCATTGTGGATATGGTTCGTGAGATGAAACCAGTCTATAGGGTTCCCTTTGAGCGAAACTCTGCACGACACAAAGACCTACGTTACGAGTATGTGCAAGTAAGTATACATCCATGTTCACAGTACAGTTAGTGAACATACTGTGTTGCTCAGTGGCCTACATTACTTCTGGACAATACTATGCTACCTGATTGACTGTTGTTCTGAACACCTGTGCACTTTCACATTTTCACAGAGGATATTACAGTTTGACGCGATGGCCAGACCTCATGAGTACCTCTTCCTGGATGAGGCTGGCTTCAACCTGCAGAAACGAAGGCAAAGAGGCCGTAACATCATTGGCCAAAGAGCCATCACTGAGGTTCCTGGCCAACGGGGGGGTAATATTACTCTTTGTGCGGCCATGGGTTTGGAGGGGCTTGTCCACCGGCAGGCTGTCCTTGGGTCTTACAACACCCAACGTCTCCTAACCTTCCTAGAGGAGCTAAAAGATATCCTCCTGGACCACCAACACCATCCTGGGCCCGAACATCCCATTTATGTGATCATTTGGGACAATGTACGCTTCCACAGAACAAACCAAATCAGAGTGGTTCACCACCAACAGTAACCACTTTTTAAACGTCTGTCTGCCACCCTACTCCCCTTTCCTGAACCCTATAGAGGAGTTCTTCTCATCGTGGAGATGGAAGGTTTATGACAGACAACCATACACTAGAGAGAACCTCCTAAGGGCAATGGCGCTGGCGTGTGTTGACATCCCAGTGGAGAACTTCCAAGGATGGATCCGCCATTCCAGGGCGTTTTTCCCGCGGTGCCTGGCAAGGGACAATATAGCCTGCGATGTGGATGAGGTGATGTGGCCCGATGCAGCTCAGCGACATGATGCTGCACAGTGATTGTGGTGTAAATAAAAAAAACTTCACACCCTGATCATGTGTTCAAGAGTACTGTTGTGTGCAATAGATTCTGTTTTTGCATTGAGTTGTGTTACAGTAGTGTACAGAATTTACTATAGATTTATACTCTTCATATGAAACTCACAAATCTAAATGCCCAATCCTCTGCAGAGATCTAAGAAGATCCATTATTGTAAAGTTTCTAAAAATATGCATTGGCAGTTATGAAACGAACCTTCTCACAAATTGAGCATTGTGTTTTCAATTGTTTTGCGGTAGTGTGTAATGATGTGTATAGTGTTTACATTTTTGAAAGCTTCGAGCTGCTCTTTTGGTGTGAAAGTTTGAGTTTTGAAGGGAGAAGGTGTGGTTGTGTTTATGTCCCTTTAGAAAAGGGTGTTGTGTTTAGACATTGGAGAACATGGACGAAACGTTTGTGAAATGTGTTTTAGCATTTGAGAAAAACTGTAATAATAAAACAAAGGTGAGCAAGCTTACGCTGAGAAGAGACAGGCAAGGGTCAAACAGTTGAGCAGTCCAACTCAAGACAATGAAATCCAAACAAAGAAGCAGGTAAAAATCAAATACTAAATAATCCAATCAGAGTCCAGAAACACAGACAGAATATCCAAAGCCCACAGGGAAACACAAGGAATAGGCTGGAACGCTTGACGTTAAGACAAAGATGAAATAACAACAGAAAATGGGGAGACACTCACTTAAATACACAAGAGTGATGGAGATAGCAAGGCACAGGTGAAAACAATCAGGTAAAATCAAAAGTAAAACAATCAAACTAGCGGAAAAACGCAGTAGCAAGGAAGTGACCACAAACAAGAGGAAAGAAAAATACCAAAGTAAAACAAGAAGCACAGAACAAATTAATGGCAAAACAAAAACATATTCCCGATAATGGGAAAAACAGAGACAGGGAGTGAAGTACACAAAGACACAGTTGTTAACACAGATGACAATTACTAGAGCTCTGTGGAAAGGAAGTCTTTTGAGCGCCTTGTGTTGTCCCACCTCAAATTTATCACAGACGTTCTTCTGGACCCCCCGCAGTTCGACTACAGGTCTGTATACAATGAAGTAAAAATAGCCCTTCACTTCACATCCTCCAACAGCTGGACCCCCCAGGAACCTATGTCAGGATCCTGTTTGTGATTTCAGCTCTGCCGTTAACACTATCATCCCAGCTCTGCTGCAGGACAAGCTTTCCCAGCTAAGCACTCCTGATTCCACCTGCAGGTGGATCACAGACTTCTGGGAAAGCTGGGAAAAGATGTCTCTGACTCTCATACCATTATCACCAGTTCCGCTCAAGGCTGCATTTTTTACCCTCCTGTACACCAAATGTTGCACCTCCAGTCAACAGTCCTTCAAGATCCTGAAGTTTTTGGATGACACTACCCTCATGGGACTCATCTCTAGTGGGGATGTGTCCACCTACTGGTGAGAGATTGGTCATCTGGTGCAGCTAGAGCCACCTAGAGCTCAGTGCTCTTAAGACAGTGGAGATGGTTGTGAATTTTAGGAGGATCTTAACCCCACCCTCCCCCTTCACCCTCCACAGTCGACATGGAGTCCTTCCGCTTCCAGGCACTGTCATCTCCCAGGACCAGAACCAGCTTCCATCACCATCTGGTGTGCTGCTGCCACTGCCAGGGACAAGGGCAGACTGCAGCGTATCATCCGCTGAGCAGAAAAGGTGACTGTCTGCAGCCGATCCCCTCCCACCCCGGACACAAACTATTTCAGACACTCCCCTCCAGCAGTAGACTGGGATCCACTTTCATGTTTTTAGATATCTTTATATGTTTATAGGTTTATGTATATTGTGACTGCGCATCTAGTTACCAAAACAAATTCCTTGTTCAGTCCCCTCCAAAAGTATTGGAACGGTAAGGCAAATTCCTTGGTTTTTGTTGTACACTGAAGACATTTGGGTTTAGGATCAAAAGATGAGTATGAGACAAGAGTTCAGAATTTCAGCTTTTATTTCCTGGTATTCACATCTAGATGTGTTAAACAACTAAGGACATAACCGTTTGTATTAGACCACAGCATTCTTAGGTGAGCAAAAGTAATGGAACAAATCATTTTAAAGTAAATAACATTTAATATTTGGTGTCATAACCCTTGCTTGCAATAACTGCCTCAAGCCTGGGACCCATTGACATCACCAAACTGTTGCATTCTTCATTTGTGATGCTATTTTACCGCAGCTTCTTTCAGTTCTTGTTTGTTTCGGGATGTTTCTCCCTTCAGTCTCCTCTTAAGGAGGTGAAATGCAGCTCTGTTGGGTTAAGGTCAGGTGATTGACTTGGCCAGTCTAAAACCTTCCACTTTTTTTCCCCCCTGATGAAGTCCTTTGTTTTGTTGGCAGTGTGCTTTGGGTCATTGTCCTGCTGCATGATAAACTTCCCGGCGATTAGTTTCAATGCATTTCTCCGTAAATTGGCAGACAAAATGTTTCTGTACACTTCTGAATTCATTCTGCTGCTACCATCATCAGCTACATCATCAATAAATATTAATGAGCCTGTTGCAGAAGCAGCCATGCACGCCCAAGCCATGACATTACCTCCACCATGCTTCACAGATGAGATTGTATGCTTCAGATCATAAGCAGTTCCTTTCTTTCTCCACACTTCGGCCTTTCCATCACTTTTCATCAGTCCATAAGATTGTGTTCCCGAACTTTTGCGGCTCTGTACTTCTTTGTAAATTTCAATCTGGCCTTCCGATTCTTACTGCTGATGAGTGGTTTGCATCTTGTGGTGTGGCCTCTATATTTCTGCTCTCTGAGTCTTCTTCCAACAGTGGATTGTGATACCTTCACCCCTGCACTGTGGATGTCGTTGGTGATGTCAGTTTCTGATGTTTTTGGGGTTTTCTTCACAGCTCTCACGATATTTCTGTCATCAACTACTGTTGTTTTCCTTGGCCGACCTGTTCGACGTATGTTGCTCAGTACACCAGTAGTTTCTTTCTTTTTCAAGACATTCCAAATTGTTGGGCTTGCTATGCCCAATGTTTGTCCAGTGGCTCTGGTCAATTTTCCTTGTTTTCTCAGCTTGACAATGGCTTGCTTTTCTCCCATAGACAGCTCTCTGGTCTTCATGTTGGTTTATCTTCTTTTACAGGAAATGCAGTCTTTATAGGTTTGAACCAAGGATGAAAAGGTAGACTAGTCATGCAGAGCTATTTAATGTTTGGACAATCAACCTAAAAGGCAACACCTGGGCAACAAGAAACATATATCAGTCACATGTTCCAATAGTTTTGCTCACTTGAAAAATGGGTGGGTTCAAACAAAGGGTGGTATGTCCTGAGTTGTTTAACACATCTAGATTTGAATACCATGAAATGAGAGCTGAAATTCTGAACTCTTGTCTCATACTCATCTTTTGATCTTAAACCCAAATGTCTTCAGTGAACACAAAAAACTCAAAAAACCCAAAACCATACCACTTAAAATCGGTATGAGTGAATCTTACACTAAAATTTACTAAAAATGCAAACCAAACAACATTTTGAATCCAAAAATCATGTCTTTTAGGAGCTTCACAGTATTGAGCATGTGACTTAAAAACAAATGTGTGTTTTTAGCGAAAGGTAGGAAGCGGAATGCATCATTGTTATTGTCACAATGTTACCTTTATTCCTACAGCATATTTATGTATCTTTCAGCAGGATCACCCAAAGAAATATATTCCAAGTCAATTGAAATTCTGTACTGCCACTGCAGGTGTAGTGTATGTGTAGCTCGGCTACTTAGTTTTCACTTCATAGTTAAGACTAGAACAACAAGTTTAAGGTGAAGGGAAAACACATGTCAACAAAAGAGAAGAGGAAAATGAAATACACTTTTGTTAAAACAAGACAGATGAAGACAGAGTGTGCCCTTGTGTTTGTGACAGTGTGTGACTGAATTTCTTTTTGTGACAACTTTGTCATCCTTGGCCTTCCTAACTTTTAAAGACAACCTAACGCAAGAGACTATTTTTATTGCAAGCTGTATTGCACAGAGCAGTCAGGCCTGTCTCCAAACTGGGCATATTTGATTCCTCTGAGAATTTTTTAGACTAGCTGCCATGGAAAGTCCCTTGACCTTACATATTTATTTATTTATTTATTTACATATTTGTCAATTCATCTATTTCAGCTTGAACACACTGTTTGGAAAAAGAAGTGTTCCATGAGCTGGACTGATCTGATACATGTAAAATATAGACAATCAAATTCAGTTTTCAGAGTGGTACTTCCTTAACATTATAAGCTACACACTGTTCTTCTGTTCTATCTTTGGAGATAAGCACTGAAGCCCCTTTGTTTGCGGGTACACAGAGGATCCCAGTGCATGTAAATAAGAGAGCTGTGTGAGCCTGTGTTCACTGGGGGAGCAGAAAAACAATATTTTAACACACACACACCAAACATACACTACCGTTCAAAAGTTTGGGGTCACCCAAACAATTTTGTGTTTTCCTGAAAAGTCACACTTATTCACCACCATACGTTGTGAAATGAATAGAAAATGGAGTCAAGACATTGACAAGGTTAGAAATAATGATTTGTATTTGAAATAAGATCTTTTTTACATCAAACTTTGCTTTCGTCAAAGAATCCTCCATTTGCAGCAATTACAGCATTGCAGACCTTTGGCATTCTAGCTGTTAATTTGTTGAGGTAATCTGGAGAAATTGCACCCCACGCTTCCAGAAGCAGCTCCCACAAGTTGGATTGGTTGGATGGGCACTTCTTGCGTACCATACGGTCAAGCTGCTCCCACAACAGCTCAATGGGGTTCAGATCTGGTGACTGCGCTGGCCACTCCATTACCGATAGAATACCAGCTGCCTGCTTCTGCTCTAAATAGTTCTTGCACAATTTGGAGGTGTGTTTAGGGTCATTGTCCTGTTGTAGGATGAAATTGGCTCCAATCAAGCGCTGTCCACTGTGTATGGCATGGCGTTGCAAAATGGAGTGATAGC